TGGCCACAGCCTGCTGTGCTCAGGACTTACTCCTGAGATTCTGAGTTCAGGGATCACTCCTGGCAGTGTTCAGAGGGACCATATATGGTGCTGGGGATTGAACCAGGGTCTGTCACATGCCAGGTAAGTATGCACTATCTCTCCAACTCACCCCTTCATTTTATAGATGGAGGAACTAAGGCTCAGAAAACTGAAGACAGTGAACCAGAGTTGCACAGCAATTAGGGGGTAGAATGGGGTTTAGAAGTCCGACTATCTAAATGCAGACCACATGCCTGGAACACATGGCTGTGCCCAGTGGCGAGTGTGCTCAGAGCTGGAGGCAAAGTAGAGAGCAAGCAGGAGAGGGGCTTCCCCACCACAGACCCAAGGCAGGCAGGTCCCGAGGCTCCTAGTCATGCATCTGCTACCCAAGGAGCAAGACAGACATCCTCCATTCTCCAAGCAGTCAAGTCAATCATCCACCTCACAGCAGAACCAAGAATCTAGGGTGCAGTGTGGGGGGGGGGGAGGGGGGTTGGGGGGAGGGAGGGATCAGATCACTTAATCAGCTCCAAATCCAAAACCTCCTTCAGCACAGCCTCTCTGAGAAGCCAGGCAGCCTCTGACGGGCACGCTGGCTGCCCCCTCGCTGGAGGGGCTCCTTAGAGGCCCAGCTACCATCTGGAAGTGATTTGGCCCAGAGATTCCTGAACCGGGTGGGAGGCTGGAATGACCAGCTGCCTGCCTAGAGTTCCCAACCAGGACCAAAGCTGGTGTGAATGCCCACCCCACCCCACCCCCAGGCAGCCACCAAATAAACCAGGGATCACTCCTTTCCAAGGAGGGGGCACCCTTGAGCAATCCTTCCCTTCCTACAGGCAGCAGAACCCACCAGCCTCTCTTTCCAGGGCATGCCAACTTTAAGTCGGTTCAGAGATCAAACCCTCCAGTGTGACTTTTGAGATTGTTACTGGGCAGTTATCTTATTGATTTAACAAACACTCACGCAGCACTTACCATGTGCCACTAGCTGTTCTGAGCACTTTAAAAATATTAACTTGTTTAATTTTTATAACAACCTTTTTAAGGAGCTGGTTGCAATTCCCATTTTAGTGATAAGGAAACCAAGGCACTGGAGTTTCTTCCTAGCTCCTTAGCAGCGACTGGTATTTAAGCCAAGAATTCCGTGTTCTTTTCTAGGGAATAAGCGGCTCCCACAAACATGTTACTCTATTGCAAATGGCCTGGAACTTGTTCATTCAAACAAAGCCTGCTACTCTGTTACTTTTTAGGCATCTTCAGAGTCTGAATCCCATGGCCTAAGAGAAACTGACATTTGCTAACTTTCACTTTTTGGTAGATTCACTTTCACTTGTACTTGACTTTGGTGGGGATGGGAGAAAAGGAAGAAAAAGGGGGCTCATGATGCCATGCCCCACCACCCTGGAAACTTTGCCCAATAACCCCAGGTCTTGGGAGAATGCACTCCTGCCTGCTCTGGGGCGCTGGTGGGCTCCTGCACCTGGAGTCCACATCAGGGTGACACTGCATCCTCCAACAAGGACAGAATGCCTTGCTCCACAGGAGCAAGCTCAGATATACCACCCATATTTGCATGTAACCTTCTTGCCATTCTTAAGCTGCGAGATCCTTTATCTGTTTTTACTCCCTTTCCAAGTGGGCTGGGTCTAGTCTTAGAAAGACTTTTGGAAAAACAAGTAAATAAAACTGCCAGCTTCTGGCAGACAACTAGAAATATATATGCAAAGGCCTCACTGCGACTGACCTAGGACAGAACAAGAAACACACGGAAACCTGCCACTTCTGGATAGAGCTGACAGCCCACCTTACCACCATGAATCACAAATGTGCCTGGAGAGCCTGGCTGTCTTGGCGCTTCCTAGGCTGAAAAGTCAGATCCCCGAGAAGCTCAACCATCTTAAGTCTCCGAGTTTGGTGCCTCTACATAAATCTACCGGGCCCCCCTCAATGAAGATGGCTGGGAGTCATCCAAAGCAAACAAGACCTGGGTTTGTTCAGAGATAGTCTCCCAGACCATGAAGACAAACACCCCCCATGGGGTACCAGGAAATCTGACAAGAAATTTCAGTGAAGACAGGCAGAGGATCCTCAACACTCCCCACCCCGATACACACACACACACACACCAGAGACAGCTACCTGAACAGGAGAAGATGGGGGAATCCTTATCACGGTGCAGAGGATTAAATCCTGTCATTCACAGAAAATTCTGAGGTCACTGCCTTGCTCAAGGTCACAGGCTCCAAGTTGGGATACCCAACTTCTTTCCCCCCAATATCCCAAATCTGCAAACCCAAGTGGTACAGAGGACTCTGGGGGGAGGGGGGGGTAATTTTATTTGCTTCCCGCGTGGGAAGACAGTTCAGCTAAGGCTCACTTTCAACAAGTGGGCAGATCCAGGTTCCAGTCACCATTTACTAGCTGGATGACCACAAGTTACTTCACTCCTGTTTCCTCATCTTTAAATAAAGATAATAACACAGACACCAGCTACAGTAACAACAGCGCCCATCTTCTAAGCATTTGGTCTGGACTGGGTCAGTGCTAAAGTAAATCTTTATGAAGACAAGGACACCCAAAGATCTGGTGCGTTCAGCAACACAACACACCTCACACCTCCAGAGAGCAAATGCCACCATCTGCACAGTGTAACACAGTGAGTACTTGAAGTCCAGCAGAATGTGACTTTGGGGGCTTGGGAGTGGGAGGGGTGTCATATTGAATAGCCCAGAGAGAGCAGCGAGAAGGGCCTCAGGCACTGCCACCAGGAGAGTCCTGGCACTCAGCAAATCTTCCTCTGGTCTCCAGAGGCTGGCAAACCTGTTTGCTGTGAAATCTTTCTGGAGAGTGACCCAGCAGCCAATGACAAGAGTCCTAAGTGTGGTTACCCTCTGTGACCCAGGAATGCTACTTGGGGAAATAGGAGCCAAGAAAGCGTTTAAGAGGAGAAAATAAAATGAAACAATGTAACTCATGGGGGCCAGAGGTCAGCAGCCCAATGGCGGAAGGGAAGGCTAGTCTTAGGATGTCAGGACAGCGTAGCACTGGCTCTTGCAGGTAGAGAGACAGAACAGACCAGAGTAAGCTAGAGCAAGACCCCCGCTGGGGGGACCGGCGGAAAACCGCCCTGGAAGCAGCTGGTAAACCAGGCAGCTCGGGTTTTTCTGAGGCGGTGGTTTGGTTTTGTGTTTATTTTACTTTTTTAAGAGACTTCATGTCATGTTTGGATACTCCTGGTTTACTTTAAGTTTCTTTGTTCAGCTAATTAAATAAATACACATTTTTAAAACAAAGAAGGGATCCAAGTTGCGCCCAGGGAGGCCTTGGAGAGTCCTCAGAGAGGAAAGCTGGTTTCTGAAAAGGAAAGAATGCCCAGAGAATTCCGAGTTTCTCACCCCAGAGCCTGGGTGGGGGCCCTCAAAAGACAAGGCCAGCAAGCCACAAAGCTCTTCTCTGCAGAGAGGCGAGTCACCCTGGGTGGGGAGGCGGGCTGGCTGGGTGCTGGCAGCGGGCCTGGGCCAGGAAGCCGGAAGTGGCCATACCTGCCAGGACAGGTGTGGGGGAGGGCGCGGCCGCAGGAGGCCCAGCCTAGAGGGAACCCCTTTTATGCTGGAGAAAGTCCCAGTGGTCACACCCACCACTCTGTTGCCCTGCCACAGGGGTCATGTACAGTCTGGTGTCCTCAAGAAAAGCCCCTTAGACCCAGGCAGAAGCCAAGTCCCCACTGGCAAGGCACACGGCACACACGCAGTGTACACTCTGCACACATGTACACTCCACTCACACACACTGTGTACACACACACACACACACACACACACACATACACACACATTAACTCATACATGGTGCACATGTCCTGCCCCTACCAGCGGGGCTGCTGCCATCCTCAGCAGCACAGGGCCCCTCTCACAGACCCTCAACAGTCCTGGTCAGAGTTGGGACCTGGTCCTCATTCCTCCTCCCCAGCTCAGGGAGAGAGGAACCCAACACCAACCCCTTCCCCCCTCTCAGGAAGACCCTGGTGTGGGGAGGGTGGGGAGAGGAAGGCAAAGTCTCCTTGAATTGTCACCCACTTCCTTCAATTCTCCGAGCTGGACCCTCACTGCTGGAGTCGCTGAGGGCTAGTGGATTAACCCTCTGGACCCCCTAGTTTGTCCAGGGGGCTCTAAGGGCGGCCTAATTCTGGCTGTGATCGTGCAAAAGGCACACGTGCGCTGGCACACACCGCGGCTCCATAAGGTTGGGCACCACCACCACCGGAGTCTAGATCGTAACTTCAGCAGCCGGGAGCAGCGGGGCTCAGCTGAGCGCAGAGCGCGTGACACACCCCCGCAGTTCCCCTTCCCACCTTGGGGCCCACACTCATTCCCGAGACGGCCGGGGAGTCTACCAGGTGTGCCCCCCACCGCCCACCTCTCCCCTCCTCTACCTGGGCGGGGTAGGCCCGGGCGCAGAGAACGGTCCCTCCCAGGTCTCTCCGCCCGGCCTCCCGGCCAACGCCCAGGAGTCCACCGCGCTCAGCTGCCCCGGTGCAGCGGGGAGCGCCCCGGGGAGCAACTGGCTGGGGGCCCCACAGCCCGGGCCGGTGGGGGAGAAGTTTCTAGCTTTCCAGCCGCCGCGGCAGGAGCACCCCGGGAGAAATGCTACATCCCCCACCTCTTCCCTTGAGCCAAAACTCCAGCGCTCGACTCACAGCCCCCACCCCCAAGGCGCTGGGACGGGGCGCTGGGCGGGAGTGATCACGCACGAACTCCGAAAAGGGGCGTCTGAGTCCCCGACGTCCCCAACTCTCGAGGACAACAGGTCCCCGACACACACACACACACACACACACACACACACACACACACACACACACACACACACGCGCGCGCGCGCGGAGCCCACACTTGGTGGGCGGTGGGCGCGCACAGCCTCCTGCAGGGGCGCGCGCAGGGGGGATGGGTAGCCCCTCGCCGGGCCTCGGCACTCACCGATGGACACGAGCTTGATGTTCTCACGCTCCAGGAACTCCAGCGCCACGGACACGTTCTCGAGCTGCATCTGGCGGAAGGTGGGCCGCTGATGGTACTTGCGGCACATGGGCTTCTGGCTGAGCACCTCCAGCAGCGCGATCAGCCGCAGCCCATCGCTCAGGTCCGTCTGCAGGTTCCCGATGCGTTTGTTCACGCATTTGAGGTGCTCGTTGCACCAGCGCGTGAACGTGTTCTGTTGGATTTTCTTCCAAGGTGCGTCCTCCGCCAGGTCCTTCTCGGTTGCAGGCATCCTGGCGGCGGGGGGAGAGCGCGATGCACAGCGAGCTGCCGGGATCTGGCGGCGGGAGGCCCAACGACCGGGATCGAGAGAAGCCAAGCGCAGCGGGCGTGGGGCTCGAACTCGCTGCTCACAGAGCCGTGGCCGGGACTGCTCTGTGGCCGCCTGCTTTCAGCCGCGCGAGGCGTCCTGCGGCGCGCCTGCGCACTCGGGCGGCCCGCCCCTGAGGGTCCGCCCCGTGCCGGAGTCCTCGGGTGGGAGTTCCTGCTCCACGCCCGCCCCCTGCCGCCAGCGGCGGGCACTGCGCCGAGCCGCCACCGAGGAGGCCTCTGTGCTCTCCGTCACAGAATGGGAGAGCATGAGGATGACATCCCACGCGTCTTATGAAGCAGATCTCCGGGTCCGAGGAGAGAGGGAGTGTGCAGAGGCAAGGGAGCTGGGCAGAGGAGTGGGTCTTGGGGAAAGGACTGTTGGGCGGCGGGGTCTTCCTGTAGGAACCCAAATAAAGTTCAATAATGGGTTTTATCGAGCTCCTGCTATTGCACTAGACATTGTTAGGCATTCGCAGGAAGCTGACATTTTTTCGATTTATATGAATTAATCTCGCAGGAATTATATTACCAACAGCTAGCATGTATTGAGTGCCTGCTGTATGCCAGCTTCTCGGTGCCAGCCTGTGAACCAAAGGAATATCACAGCTTACTCCCTTGAGTTCACAAACTAGTGAGAGAAAAGGGCTGTATGTGTCACAGAAATCCGGGTTGTGATGACAGCAGCCAATAGCAAAGCTTGCTGTACAGTGTTTACTTTCTTATTGCTATTGTAACAAATTGCCAGAACTCTGTCTCATAAGAGGCACACACCTCCAAGATAAATTTCAGTGCCTGTATTGCAAACCATAATGCCCAAAAGGAAAAAGGGGAGAGAAGTGTCTGCCATAGAGGTAGGCTGGGGTTGGGGTGGCAGGAGAGAAACTGGGGATATTGGTGATGGGAAATGTGCACTGGTGAAGGGACGGGTGGTGTATCTCAGTGTGAATAAAAAAAAAATGTAAAGGCACACACCTCAAAGTATTATCTTGTTTTTCTGTAGGTCCCACCTGTCAATATGAGTCTGACTGACAATCAAGATATTGCAGGATATATTTCTTTCTTAAGATTCTAGGGAAGAAGCCATTTCCTTGCCTTCTCCAACCTCTAGGCGTTCAGGAATTTCTTTTTGTTTGAGGGCCACACCCAGAGGTGTTCACGTTTTACTCCCGGCTCTGAACTCAGGGATTACTCCAGGCAGGCTCTGGGGATCGTAAGAGATACCGGGGATCACATGAAAGGCAAATGCCCTACCCACTCACTATACGTTGTTCTGGCCTAAGGGGAACTTCTTATCTTTGAGTTCTTCCTCCATCTTCAAAACAGCAAGATCAGGCTGTCCTGCTGTCACCTCTCTTATTCTTCATAGTCACATCTGCCGCTAACATTTTTTTAATGATTTTTATGATTACATGGGTCCAGTGGTTAGTCAAAGAGATCTTAATTCTGAAATTTACTTTTGAACTTTGGGGTGGAGGAACACCTAATGGTATTCGAAGGCTATTTCCATGTAGTACTGGGATCAAACCAGACCTTGCATGTGCAAAGCATGTACTCTAGGCCTTTGAGCTATCTCTCTCACCACCGTTTTTGTACTCTTTTTTTTTAAATTTATTTGCCTTGGGGGACACACCTAGAGATGTTCAGGGCTTACTCCTGGCTCTGCACTCAGGAATCAGACCTGGTGAGCTCAGGGACCATATGGTATGCCGGGGATCTAACCCTGGTCTACTGTGTGCAAGGCAAGGGCCTTACCCACTATCTCTCCAGCCCCTTTATGGGGTTTTGTTTGTTGGGGGGACCATACCCAGCCATGCTCAGGGGTTAATCTAGCTCTGCACTCAGAATCACTCCCAGTGGCTGAGGGGGACACCTCTGCCACATAAAGGAATGGTCACAGGTTCTGGAAATGTGGATTCAAGCATCTTGGGGGCGGGGGTAGCTCTTATTCTGCCTGCTAGTCTGTCTCGAGCTCCTGCTCTGTGCACACACAGGTTTTCTGCTAGGTACTGGGATGCAGTGGAGACCAGGCCAAAGCTTGGCTGTCAGAAGCCTAAATAATGATAAGAATCGCAGCAGTCATCTACTGAGTATTTGCTCTGCCCCTGTACCAAGAGCTATAAGAAGCAGGTTTTGGAAGGCTTGGGGTGTTTTTGTTTGTTTGCTGTGCTATTGGTCTCTCTTGATAATTGTTGTGAGGGGGCTGTGCTAGTATAGCAAGTAGGATGCTTGCCTTGCACATAGCTAACCCTGATTCAAACCCAGGTACTCCATATGGTCCCTGAGCTCCACCAGGAGTGGTCCCTGAGCACAGAACCAGGAGTAAGCACTGAACATCTCCAGGGTGTGAATGTCACCGGATGTGACCAAAAAATTTTTTTAGATTTAGCTGTGAGGTTAAGTCAGTTCTCCAGGCCACACAGCCCAATCAGAACTGAAGACAGTCCTGTAAGTGAATCAGGATATCCTGGCCCTCTGAGCCCAGTGTTAGGGGAATTAGGGCAGTAGTTAGGATTCCAGGGAAAGGCAGGCAAGGAAGGGCACTCAAAGCTTCTGTCCAGGAGTGATGGTCCAGGAGTGGCCAGCAGATTTGCGAACATAATGACCTATTGTAGGTAATAGTAATTTGTACATGCTAAAGTGTTTTGTTTAGACAGACATCTCTATGGAAATGCTTGACACAGTCGGGGGAGAGAGGGTATTTCCTGGTCTGCTTTACCCCTGGTCCTAATCCATAGCAGGGATTTTATAATTACCTGGAGGCTCTCTTGCCCTCATCAGTCCAAAGGGACTGACTCCAAAGTGTGTTCTGTGCCCCAGGACCTCATGCTCTTCCCAGCTTGGGAAATAGCTCTCTCTACCTGATCTGAGCTCATATTCACTAGAATCGTTGTGAGTAAACTTGGCCTCCCACCTTTCCCAAGGTTCCCGGTTCCTTGTGCTTTCCTCCACCCCAGCGCATCCATCAAACCTTATCAGTCAGAGTCCCACTCCTATGGGCCTCCTCCCTAGGGGAGGCGAGCCTGGAACTATGTGCTCAACTCTGTCCTGTCAGCAACTGCTAATGTGTGGAGTTCTCCTTTCTTATAAAGTGATTTATGTTTTCATCAGGTCTTGACGTAAGTCACCAAATAAGTTCTGCATGTCCAGCCCACATTATCCAGAGCAGAGTCATTCTCTCAGCGATATTTTCCATCCAATCAGAAGAGGTCGAGTGATGCTCTCCTTCCAATCTGAAGGTGCCCAAGAGTTGTCCTGGCAACAACTGATGGTGACTAAGAGGAACTTAATACTCACATTGGAGGAGTGTGGTCTGTGGCTTCAGAGATGAGGGGAGGAAACGGATGAGGTCTTCACGTGACTCTTTATCCATATTTGATCAAATCTGAGAGCAAACAATTCCTGGGAGGAGTTTTTAAAGGCATTTCAAAGTTGTGCCTGACAATGTCTGTGCTGAAACTTGGTCTCTTTTCTCTAAACGCTGTCCTAAAGTTCTCTGATCTTACGGTGGAACTGCCCGGGATTACCAAGCTATGGGAGGAGGAAGAAACCATCTAGAGGTGACATCCAGAGAGAAGTAGGTAGACTGGCACTTTGGTAATGGTGGAAACTTTGTATATCAAAACTATAAGGTAAAGGTAAAGGTAAAGGCCCTCCCGTTGATCGTCGATTTGCTCGAGCGGGCCCAGTAACGTCTCCATTGGAGACTTTGTTGTTACTGTGTCTGGCATATTGAATTCTCTCGGTAGCTTGCCGGGCTCTCCGAGAGGGGCGGAGGAATCGAACTCGGGTCGGCCATGTTGGCCGCGTGTAAGGCGAACGCCCTACCCGCTGTGCTATCGCTCCAGCCCAATCAAAACTATAATTTGACAATATTGAAACTTTATTACAATATTTTTATTATAATATAATATCTTTAAACTTCAAACAATATTACAACACAAATATATTAAGAATAATAATAATAATAATGAAATAGAACAGATTTTTTTTAAATCTTCCCAGAGTACAGGGTCTGGGTATGAATTCTGAGTGCCCAGACTGTGCAATCTTGGACATCTAACCAACCTCTCAAGCAAGCTTCAGTTCTCTCTTCTCAGTAATGGGAGTAACACTCCTGTCAGGACAATTCATAATGCAACCCAAACTCACAGCCTGGTACACAGTTAAGGCTCAGGAAATATAGCAGGAACCTTGCCTAAACGAACACACTTCACAACCAGTCTCTGACAAATCTGGAATCAATTGCCCTTCCCCACACTCCAGGGGGTGTTTCTATGAAGCCAGCGCTCACTCCCTTCAGTGTCTGTTACCCACAGATGTTGCCTCCAGACTGTCCCAGCCCGCCAAGGGATCCTGTTTTGGGCAAGCTAACCCAGATAGAGCTCTAAGCTCAGCTTGTCATCGTGGCCCACAGGACAGCACCAGAAGCACAGACATCGACGAGGAAGTGGCTGGCCAACTGGAAGATAAACATCAGGTGGAAGGCTGACGCCAACTGCTCAGAATTGAACAAGTCGATACTCAGCCTTCCCAGGGGGATAGGAAGGCGGAATTGGGAGGGTTCCTCTAGCCAAGCAAACATGCACAAGCGAGCTGGTGCCCCTTCAGGCCTGTGCTCATATGCTCATGGCTCCAAGTAGAGAAATTGCGCTTTCGTAGCCTCCCACCCCGCCCTGGCCTCGCCAGCTCAATCTCCTTGTTCTCCCAGCTTGTGCATCAGACCGCTTACTTTATGCAACACGTCAGTTGCATTTTTCTGCCGGCAGTTGATGAAGGAGGGCATCTGTCACCTGCTCTTCCCTGGCATGGTATAGTTTGAGGATTAAGACTTCAGAAAACCACCCTGTCCAATTTAAATTGCATGAGAGTTTTGATGTCACTGAAAGTTTTTGTTTGTTATTTGTTTTTTGAGCCGTACCCAACAGTACTCAGGGGCCACATCCAATGCTGTGCTCAGGAAAGGGGACCAGACAAGTGCCAGGAACCAAATTTGGGCCTCCTGTGTGGAAAGCATGTGCTCAACTCATTGAGCTCTCTTGGCCCTATGCTGATTTGTTTTAAACAAT